TTATTACAAATACTAGATGGCAGTCATGCTGTAAGATTGGACAGCCTTTTCCCTCGGTAAATATCTATTTTAAAACCGCTTTCTGAATTTATTCTGGTTATCTTTGTTTGAGAATAAAATCTGTTTAACCACAACAAACATCCAAGAGTAAAAAAACAAAACAAAAAAAACCCCCTGAAAAAATAAGTAAATATACATTAATGTACGGAAGAGGATTAGGGCCACTGAAAAAAAAAGTTAACTGATTTTTAAATTTTATTTCAGTATAATATGAGAAAAAAAGTCAGAATTCTCACTTTTTTCTCAGAATTCTCACTTTAATCTCAAAATTCCGAATTTAATTTTTTGAATTCTGACTTTAATCTTAGAATTCTGACTTTAATCTCAGAATTCTGACTGAATTCTGACAGCTAACAAACATGTTAGCATCAAGCCGTAGTCATGTCTGTTTTAGAGAGTAGCTCTCTTGTTTTAATGACCCTCTGCTCTTTCAATAATGAAATAGCCTCACCGGGGACCCTTCAGGCATGTAAAAAGTCACCTAATTCCATCATTTTCCACCAGTGTGTTACTGGCCCTCACAAATAACTCACATCTTTGTCAGTGAAGCTGAAGCTGAGTGCTCACACATCTCTTCCTTCATGGTGGATACATTAAGATCCAAAATTCTGAGAAAAAAGTCAGAATTCTGAGATTAAAGTCAGAATTCTGACTTTTTTCCCATATTAAACTGAAATAAAATGTAAAAATCAGTTAACTTTTTCTTTATATATATATATATATATATATATATATATATATAAATTAAATCTATAAAAGGGCAAATTCTTTTTCACACCAGTGTGTTTTAGATAAATCACCCTCTTTGATGTTCAGGGAAGCTTAACCTCTTTAGAAAGTGAAGGGGTTTTCCTTTGAAAATTAGAACCAGGCTAGAAACTAGAACTGGGCTTCAGAGAATTCAACTGGAGTTTCATTAAAAAAAAAACAACCAAAAATGCTCTCAAACTAAGTACAAAATTCCTCATCTCAAACCATCTCATAAATGTTTCTCAAAACTCAAAGCATGAATCATTTGTTACCTTATAATTTGCTGGCTATAGCATGTGTGAACAACATTAAATATGCTTCATACATCCTGCAGTGCTACACTAAAACTTGAAAAATCCAGCCTTGCTTGTTTAAAATGGCCCTAAGCAATCATGGAAGGAAGGCAAAGCCCACTTAAAGAAAGAAGATGAAGGCGTGCTCTCAGCTTTGTCAGGGCCAACCTGACCCTCAGAAATTGTTTCGTAAAAAGTGTCAAACCACTTATGCACAGCTGGTGTGCAAATGGCTTCAATTCAGTCCAGAAAAATGAAAGCCCTGAAAAATCCACATGTAGTGTTTATAAAGTCATGATCAAACCTATTTAATGTTTAAAGAATTAGTGACACTGGCCTCTACAGTAACTTAAACAGTTTAATTTCTTGAAAAGCTTCATTAAAAAAAAACTGACTAAAAACCTTATCTGTTCTGCAAATTTCTTCTTTAAGAATACATTTATAAAATTATTCTTAAAAGTTCTTGTCAGCTGCTCACAGAATCATTGCCTTTATTGTTTGTTCTGCTGCACCTTGCGGATGTTACTTATCTTTCTCATTATGGATCTCTCCTCTCCATCTTGATCACTTATCTTTCATATGTCTGTATCTTTCAAAAGCCCATCTGCCCATAAGTGGAAATCATTTGTCACCTTGCTAAGGATATTGGCTGCTGAGCTAAACTGTGTCTAGATCCATTTGTCTTTTATTGATAGACGAAAAACAACATCATTCATTCATGTTTACTTTTTCATTTAATATACTTTATTTCACACATTTCTATTTGGATATAGATTTAGCTCAGAGAAATCTTGTACTTGTACACATGGACAAACTCCAGTTAATTTGTTGAAAATATACCTCAGAGTCTCTTTGTCTCTGTTTTTGCTTTCTTTGGTGTAGCTTCCAGTCATAATTAGGAGTAAACCTACAGAGATCCCTTCCACCCCCCCAATTCAAATCACTCAGACAACATTTTGTACTGACTGGTTTTCAAATGAGCTTTGCTTGTATGTAGTGTCCTCTGGTTCTAAGCTGCATCCTTTAGCCAATCTGGACTGTTTCCCAGATGAACCAATGGAGAAATGGAAGCAGGAGGCATAGGAGAAAGCCAGCAGGAGTAGGAAGCAAACAACACTGAAAATGACAATAATGACGATGGTGTGTAGCTCCATGTGGTGCCTCTCTTCAGGAGCCAGCGTCGTAGAGGCCTGGACGCTCAGAGCTGTTGGCGTAGCGATGAAACTGTTTGGAAACAATGGCTTGACAGAGGCAAAGTGCGGCACTACTGACATGATGAGGAGTTGTAGTTCCTTACGTGGGCTAGCTGGGCTCACTGTAGATGATACCTTAAGAAGAGACACACATCCAATCATCCAGGTTACCACATTTCAAACAGGTTCATCATGGTGGAGTGTGGGCTGTTTTAACTATCAGCTTCTCTAAATGACTTTAAAATGCAGAAGCCAATGAGTCTCACTGCTTATCTAAAAACCTCATTGATTATCGGTAAAGTAAATTTAAAGATCAATCACTAACATTTCATGGACATAAAAACCCGTACCACAAAGGAGTCAGAGGACATTGTTTATTGAATGACTAAACATGGAACTATCAGTTCAACATAGAGCAGGAATTATTGTAATCAGGGAGGAATACAATGTTTAGAGTCCAGCACCTCTGGAGATGATTTTTTCCCCCACAACTACACAATTCTAAGAAAAAAAAAAAATTAATTTTAAGATTCAGGCAGAGTCAAAAGATTCCAGATAAGCAGCCCTAAATTGCATCCGCTATCTTTTTTTCTACGTCTGATTATTGTTCATGGGATCTACAAAGATTTCCCCCGCAATTGTAAAGAGGTGCAAGTCGCCATCTCTGTCAGATGAAGATGCAGATGCACGCTCTGATGCACACTCTGATGCATGCTCGGTAAAGAGGAAGGGAGGAAAACAGCATCTTGGGTCTTTGTCCGTTCTTGGTCCTCTGTTCTTGTGAATTGGTACAGTGCAAGACAAGAACATGAGAAGGCACAGGAAAGCATGTTGTTTTTAACTCTGAGCCTTTGATTTTACTAGTGTTTCAAATTTTGAAACATGAATGAAAGAAATATGGATGCAAAAATGTTTGAGACAAGACAATTAAAGGATTGTAAACACTGCCTTGACTTAAAAGGCGATGGCGATCCTTAAAGTTCTGGATTGCTTCTTTTCTAACCTCTGGTTGGAGCTAGCTGTGCTACATTGCTAATGTTACAGCTTTTAGCTAAATGAAAAAAGGCAGAGTTTAATGCTCTGGTGTTTCATCCCAATCTATTATGCAGTGTAATGCAGTTTTGGCTTTGTTGTTCGACCCTTGGCTCTGTTGCTGAAGCCTGAGGAGCCTCCAGCTATTAGCACTAAATATTTAAAGGTATATAGGAGGATTTTTGCAGAAAGGGAGAAGACCCTCTTTACTTAAAAAAAATGCACATGCACAACCCTGTACCTGCTCCCAAGAGGGAACACCTATTAAAGGTGTGTGAGAGCATGCACAAGTCCATTTCTCCTCGTGCTTGCTTTGTTAAAAAGTTTGCATCGTTCATACAAGCTTACTTTCCATAAGAAGATTTGCAATTTTTCCACTATGTCAGACTCACCATTGGTAAGTGAAAATGGGGACGAGCACATAGGACGGCCTTATGTAAACATATCATAAAGATGATTGACAATTAGGAGGACCACTTATTTTGATGATCCACCTGGAAAAAGAACATCCTCCACTATATCTGTAACATTGAATTTAAAAGTAAGGAAAACCTTTAGAGTGATAAATTATAAAATATATTTTTAAACCGCCTTTGGCACTTGGATTAGCTTTACTATGTTAAGGTTGTTATTACCTGACAGCACTGTTTTAAGAAACGTGCTTCCTAGCTGCTTTTTTAAATCAATGCTCTGATTCTTTCTTTTGCTCTTACCTGCAGCGTCAGAAAGCTGTGCTGTTGTTCGATATCTTCGTTGCCGGATTCAAGGTTTTCTTTTGGTGAGCACAGATTGGGGAATTATCAGAAATGAACGAACAAAAAGAGAGGGAGGGCTGGTGAGCAATGGAGAAGAGAGGTGGCTGGAGGACCACAAATAACAGGGAGGGCTGCCATGGCAACACAGGATAAGGGACTGCCAGTATGACAGTGACATCATAACACCTCAGTATGCTGTCATTTATGATGTACAATAAGTGTAGATGTTTTAAACAAACGAAAGAGAGGTTTAGGTAAAGCATAAACAGAGGTGAAGATAAGAAAATGTGGCCTAAAGTGAAGCTTCTAATTAATTGACGTCAGGAGATAAAAGTGTTTCCCTGAGCAGAAGGTCCAGGATAACAGCAAAGAGATTCCTTGGTGTTTTGGAGAATAATTATTCAGAGCCTTTGGTGAAGCCACCTGTCATCTTAAAAAAGCCTCAATGCATGCCACAAAATGCTGTCTTACCTCCTCTCCTTTCTCCCTATCCCTGCTCTGTCTGCCTCCTTCAAACTACAATAATGATCTATTTTTCACAACAAGTAATTGGTGTGGGACCCCCTGGTGAGGTACAAGGGGGAGCTCAAAAGCAACCGAGTACTGAAAATGTTCCATCTTACTTCGGATTATAGAAGAAAAAGAACAAATTCAAGAACATTTATTGACTAACCTAAAAATAGAAAAACTTATAAACAACAGAAAAAAAGGGAACAAGTAGTCATTAGCATACTTTAATGAGTAAAAGGACACAGAATGGACTCGGCCAGCTGTTGATTTCAGAGTGCTTTCAGGTGGTTAATTATGTCTTTACACAATGGAAACAAAGGATCCATTACATCCAAATGCAATTAGGAAGAGCCGAAAGGGGAATTCAGGGAAAGTTTTTTTTTTTGCATTCACCAAGGTCAGTCAAACAAACAATACATAAGGAATAATGACAGGATTATGTGAGCCCCTCTGACAAATGTCCCCTAAGAATAGGTAGCTGACAGAGACCTGAAAATCAATGGTCTGAACACATCTTACAAAGTGCATAAAAACAGGCTTTGTCCCTCCGAACTGCTTCCACCTTGTAGGTGATTTGCATTTCTGTCGGAGGAACAAACAGCGTTCACAGCTGGATGGAAGAGGTATCATGTGACAAAAAGAAAAAAACAAACTGTCGATGAAAACTAGAAATAATGCAGTGAGAAGGGCAGTCAGCAATGTAATAAGTCCCAAGATTAACATATAAAACGTTTCAAGAAAAAAATAAAAACAACTTTCTGCTGAAATTACTCAGTCTCGCTCTGTTGGTGTAATTTCCTGCACTGTTTGCTCTGCTATGCCATTAAGATTTGATATCTTGTTTGCTATGCCATGTAAGTATGTAATTCTAAACTGTTTTTTCTTTCAGTCTTGCTGCTCAGCTTGTCTTCCTCTTGAATTAAAGTAAGCACTTGTCAGATTAGCTCATGATTGTTTCATTCTAAAGCATTTTGACATTAATTCAGTTTCTGTCCATCACATATAATTCAGCTTTTTCTTTTTTTGTCCTTGAAATCCGTCTCTCCTGCCTAAATATGGTGGTAAGTCTAAGATATGGACATTTTGATTGTAGAAGTACAAATATGATTCAAAAACATATGCTACACAAAACAGAAATGACTAATTTTATTGTCGAAATGCATACTTTACACATACACACGGACACGCCCACACAAACTACTAATGTATGGCAACACACTAACATTTCATTTCAAAATGATAATACCTAAAAGGCTAATACATTTTAGAGCTAGAGGTACTTCTTTATCGACTACTTTGGAAAAATATTCATAAAAATAACAATTCATAAAAACAAAGTTGTTCCAATCTATGGGGTGAGCTGAGTGCATCATTAATAAATGAAGTCAATCCCATTGTGTGATGCTGATGCTCTGATTGACTCTGGTCAGTGTTGTTTGGGACTGTGCTTTATTTCTTCCTGTTCACAATGTTGTTGCAAATCCAGTTCATTCCATCCTGTTGGGAAAATTAAATATGAATTACATATACTAATCACTGTTATGCATAAATGCAAATATACTCTAAATAGAACTGCTGTCCTGATTTTTCAGTACATGCTCATGCTTAACTCTAAAAAAAAATCATATTTGTTCAATCTTTTCCCATTCTGTAACATTACAGACCCTACATCTAATTTCATCTATCTGGATATATTGCTACAAAAAAAGTAGTTCATAAGATGTCAAAATAGTCTGATTTGAATAAATCAATGCAGTGCACAACCATCTTCTTGGGAATATTTATTCTAGCTTCCCACATCTGATACTTTTTTTTCTACCATTATTCTTTGAAAACATCAGCTATCATGTCTTACCCTACATATTCAATCTTATTGAGGTCTAAACTTTGACGAGGTCATTCTAACACATCAGTGTGCTTTGATCTCTATAGCTCAGGCTGTATGTTTATGCTATCGTCCTGCCACAACGTAAATCTCCACTTCATTCCAAAGTCTCTGATTCTTTCAGGGATTGCGCTGCTTTTAAATTGATCAAATTTCTCCAAAACCTTAAGGCTTTGCCATCCTTCATGTGAATATCCCAACAGCATGAGGCTGCCGCCACCATGCTTCCATGTAGAATAAAACAATCTATTTTGGTTTCATCTAAGCAGATCACTCTACTCATTTTCATGTGGATTAAAGCTAATTTACTTCTACTGTACAAATATGCAGTCAGCAGTCTAGTTGTTAAAAAAAAAAGAAAAAAGAAAAGGGATGGTGGAATATTATTTTTTTTGGAAGCATATATAACCTAATTAATATAGTCTATTAAATAGTGTTGCCCCGATACCGATACCAGTATCGGTCGGGGCCCCAATACTGCACTAAAATGGTGGTATTGGTATCGGCAAGTACCAACAAATAGGGCACTAATTTTATTATTTTGAGAGCCAAAAGTTTATTCAACTATTGTCACCCATTCCAGGTAAAACGTTCTTCTGGATTCCCTTTGTATTAGTCTTTTTTCTGTTTCACAAAGGTAGGCAGCAGCTTGACAAAGCCATGATGGCAATTATTTTACATCAAACTAGTATGCAGTTCTTCATATATACACACACACACATCAATTTCAAACAGATGGTACCAGTATGGTATTGGTATCTGCAGATACTGCACAACCAGGTATCGGGGCCAAAAATCGGCATCAGTGCAACACTAATATTTACCAATAGCAATATGCATGGTATGGTTGTTACATGTCAGGTACTGCAGTCATTGACCTTGACCGAAGCAGTCCTTCCCTGGACTGGCATGGCTTCCCTGGACAAATTTCCCACTGGGATCAGCTTCATAGTTATGGTAGGTCACTTCTTTTATTTTATTTATTTTGCTCAGGCTACTCATAAGCCCACAGCCCACCATGTATTTATTGCCATTAATGTTAATATATAGCAGAAATGTTACAAGTGTTGTAATAAAGTGTCACAGGGGATGGTATAGGGGGATGGTGATTTAAGAAGGGGGATACCATCCCGAGTACTGTATGCACTACTTTGTGTTGTGTGTCTTCTGTCCAATAAAATCCTATCAAAATGTGCAGAAGTTTTTGGTTGTAATGTGACAAAAAGAATTAAGAATGTAGTTGTTGCTCATTACCTGAACTCCCTCCCCAGACACAGCTGAGCAGGCCTGAATTTGCCATTCTCTGTCCCGGTACGTATGCAGGTTGAGCCCCTCAGCAATCTCACTGGCCGGTGATGCTGTTGCCAGATCCTGCTTGTTAGCAAAGATGAGCACCGGAACGCCCTTTAAATTCTCCTCATCGATCAGCTCGGACAGCTCCTGCACAAACAACCTTTGAGAGCCATGCAGACTGACGAAATAAAATGTTTGATGAAGAATGCTGATGTATGTCTCCAAATTAAATTTTAAGTTGCTTGGTTAGTAGAGGAGTTTGATTATGCTCCAAACTTGTAAATGAATAGGATACACTTGTTCAGTTTAATCTAATATTGAGTAATTGCTGAATATTGCTAGGGGCAAAAATTTAAAACAACATCCCAATTGATGCTTCCCACTCATTACAGGTATTACTATTAGACTAGCAGTCCCTTCCACATTAAGGACCTGTTTTATCTTCTTTATCATCCAGATCATCAACATGTTTGGTTTTATTGTTTGCATTTCAATTTAACGTCAACATTTTTATTTCTCAGATTAAGGATCGTGGGAAGCTTCATAACAATGTGGAAGTTGTAGGACGTAGTGCAAAATAAATGTATGATTAAAAAATTATTTGATGGAGCAAAAAGCACTTTGACCAATTTTTTGTCCATTTTTTGTCTTTACAGTATTATTTTTATCGACGACTAAAAGAAAAGTTGTTGGGCTTTTAGCTTCAGTCATATTAATATAGGATCACTGTTTTTCTTTACCTAATCGGAGGTTTCCTGGGCTGCATATCCCACCTAGAAAAAATTGGTTGAAACGACGTCATGACATGTGTCTAGATAACGTCTGCATTTAGTTGAAAAGGAAAAGGTGAAAAGCCGTAATTTTCAGGTTTTTAAAAGACGTATAAAACCCAATTTTAAATAACTATTTCTGAACTAGATCATGACTGTGAAGGAACGACCAAATTTATCCCAAGAAATGTCTAAATGACATCTAATGTTTGGTCTAATGTTAATGTAATGTATCAACAGAACTATTTTCCTTTTTATTGTCCTCTTTATTATGCCTATATGAAAAAAAATCACTGGGTCAGAAAGTGACTAATGATGCAGGGCCTCTTTTTTATACTTGTTCTGTTGTTACTCTGGGATCATGTTCTAAAGCAAGTGTAGCCTATGATAATAAACATAATTTTCATTTATTTCCAAATGGATTTTTCTCACAGTGAATAAATGAACTAATATGATAATTTTAGGGTTTTCTAGAATCTAAAGTGTAAGAAAGCAATTTTTGTTTCTTTTCTGTTAAATGTAGAGGACATCATTTTTGTTTTTGTGATCTTGTCTGAATGCTGAGGGTTACAGAATGTATTTCCAAGCTCACCAGTCCTGTCTCCTCAAACCTCTTCTTGTCTGCGCTGTCAATAACATAAATCTGCAAAAAATAAAAGATATACAGTTTCTTAAGCACTTAAAAATAAAACCATTAGCTTTATGCAAACATCAAATGAAACATTTTGCAATATTTAAGAAGCCAGATTGTGTTATTTGCAACCACTGGTAGATTTTCCTTGTTTTTTTCAATATCTATACATTTTTTTCTGATGTAGATGACCATCCTTATAGATACTCATTTGGATTAAAAGCATGTAAAAATGCCTTGAATTCGATCAACATGGCTCACCAAGAGGTCCGTGTTTTCCAGGTACTTTTTCCAAAAGGGTCTGATCTTCCTCTGTCCTCCAATGTCCCAAACATTGAGTTTCATACCATGAGAGGCAACACTCTTTATGTTAAAGCCCTGAAAGAAACCAGAGAGAGCAACATGTCACTGACAGCCAGAGGCAACTAGAGGAGAAGGCCCCCTAAAACATGTAACTAATAACTAATCTTTGCAGAGTCGTTCTCCATCACAAATATGTTGTGCATCAGTGAGAGATTGGTGATTAAGGGAAACAGAGCCAGAGTGTTGATCCGCAGACGTTTTTCACAACATCTTGCGCCCGTTTCACTTGGCAAAGTTGTGTAACGACATTATCCCAAGGGGCGGCTGAGGAGCAAATCTGAGGATAAGACCAGAAGGATCAAGCCAAGAGTATGGGCTGATGTGTCAAGTCTGATTTACTTTTGCAGCCACTGTCGCCACGTCTTTACTGGTCGACATCCACCCTGCCTGGAGAGCACTGACACTTGTCTGGGACCTGGCAGTACATCAACAATTTTCTTGGAAGAGTCAGATAAGGACATCAGATAATGACATTAGAGATTAGATGATTGCATCAGAGCAAGATGATAGGGAAAGGAAACCTCAGCTTTATGTGAATATATCCTACAGGAAAATGTGTTGGAGAGATAAAAAGCCAGGACGTGGTTATATAAGACTGTGAAGATGACTTAACCTCTATAAAATAAAACAAAGTCTTATTTCTATTCAACAAAGCCAACATCACAAAGACTGTTAACTCAAAAGCACAGAACACACTTTAAAAATGGGAAGCCATGATTGGTCGGCATGTAGACTGCATGTTAATCTGCCTTAATGACTTCCTCATACCTGTGTCGGTGTGATGGTGTTCACGTCCTCGGAGGCGAGGGTTTTCAGCAGTGTGGTCTTGCCTGCATTGTCCAAACCCAGCAGCACTATCCTGACCTCTTGCTCCGTGGAACCTTTCAGCTTCTCTATGACAGAGAGTAAGCCCTGCAGGGTGGAAGGCGTCAGGGGCAGGAGGTCAGATAAAAAGGCAAGGCGAGGAATGAACCACATTCTCACCAGTTACATAGCAGAGCATCTTTCAGTATGTGAGGGAATTAAGCACTTGACCAACTGGTTGATCTCAGTGAAGCGGCTGAATAAAAGAGACCAACCTGGTTTCCACCTGAAACCTAACAAAATCCTGACTGCTCTCTCTCTGATCTTAGATCAAAGATCTTCTTATAACTCATGTTTCTAAGTTTCAGTGCGCCTACCCCCCTTCGGAAAAAAAAAAAATCTTCTGAAGCTTCATTTAGAAAAGCACTGGCATCAGATGCTCCATTCATTTAATAGAACCCTGTTTAATGTGATTAGTCGGAAAGGTTGCAAAACAGTTTACATGGCACACCAGTGCTGCCACACTGCTGACAACATGCAGCAAATCTTTAAACGCAAATGACAGTGCTTGTGATTAACCCTACATCAAAGAGACCAATGTAACGGTATAATTAGAGTTGAACTGACGCAACCTGAGGAATCAGGATAATCCATCCTGGCTGAGAACGACAGAAAAACAATATTGAAATCCTGAATAGTTCATCTTGTGAGATTCATAACCACGGCAGGGAAACAAATTCATGTCGGCTCATGTTCGACTTTCTAAGTCGTGCTGTAGAAGATCAGATCACCTACCTTCTGAGCCTCTCCCATCTTGATGTGTGTCCTGTGGCCTTGGCTAACAGGCTGCAGCTACATTCTCCAGTGACACCCACACAGGTGTGTAAGCAATCCAGATCAGGCAGAGTATCTATCCGGACGACTAACCTGCAAACACTGCTTTTTTTACCCTCTCTCCTTCTCATAAAACTTTTCTAGGTTAAGTGCTATGAGTGTAAGTGATAATGTCTACCTGGGCGTCAACAGCTCCTTAGTGCCACTGCGAGCAGGAAGGGAGGGAGTATGGATGGGGACTAGGATTAGGAGGCCAGAATTAGCCCTAGCCATCCATGCAAAGGCCGCTCCATCCTCCTCCCTTCCCCCCACTCCTCGGTCCATCCCTCCATCTCCACTTTACAGTGGCTTTACCTGGATTATCCGTTCGCCACCTGCTGTAAGAGGAAGCTAAACAAACAGCCCCTTCCAGTCACATACACAGAAAATCATCCATATGGTTGCTTCTAATGCAAGAGACCCTGATCACTTATGACTAAGTGAGGACAAGTTTAACATCTATACATTTAGGGTCAAAACCGGAGTGTTTAATGAGAGCATTTCTGCTTTCGTCTGTCTCGTTCCTCATATGGTTTCCTTTTAGGGGAGTGGACAGATTTCTTGTTCAATATGGTATATCCATTGCAGCCTAGCCACCGTTAAGCTGCCCTGTGTAGAGAGTGCTTCTGTGAATAGAGCATCCAGCAGGATTAGTGACAATTAATCTCTATCCTGTATTTGGATTAAAATATTTCTAGGCCCTTTTCCGCAACCAAAGTAGTGTTATGTCACAAGAACTGTCCATACAGCAGGAAAACTAAGTATCTGACACATTTTTCATTGCATGTGTACTTCAAATAGGCCAAAAATATTGCAAAAAACCCAGAATAATCCATACAAAAGTTTAAAAAAATAAAGGCATACACAAATTAAATAGTTTCAAACAGTTTAATGATGCCAGAATTTAATGAAATATAGAGTTAAACATCAATATGGCTAATAAGTCCACTGGTGAGGTGGGATTTCGGTAACTTCCTTTACACAAAGGAGTCTTTTCCTCAACTCTGATCTTGTATTATATCTCTACATTTTCAGTCAGATTTATTTTCTTTGAAATCAACATACAATTTTCTTTGCAAAATTTGGAATTAATGTGGAAATTAAATGTTCTTCAGTACGTTGTAGACGGCTGCACTCTCCTATCAAAAATGTACCAGTACTGTCGTCCTTATATTAGAGAGTCTGCCAGAACCCTATAACTCTGGAACTAACCCCACACCATGATGCCCTCATCTCCAATTGCCCTGATACATTAGAATTGAATTAGGATTGAATTTATTTTCAGACAGAAAAAACAAAAAAGTGATCAGCAAACAGTAATTACAAAGAATCTCAATCACACCTTCATATTTATTGATTTAAGCATACAAACCATACCACATGTCTGTATAACAAATAGAAACTAATAATATAACCAAACTAATTGTATACACCTAAATCTTATTAATTCATATCTCCCTCTTGTTACTCAAGACGTAAATAATAAACTACAAAATTGTTTGACTTTATCAAAATTACATAATTCCTCAAATTGTAGCCATATTTTACTGGCTTGTCCAAAACTTCTGCCAAAACTTTAAATTAACTTCAAGCTTTTTTTTTTTCCACCAGTGAAGAGTGAGTTTAAATTGTGGCAAATTTGTTTTTCAGTGCATTTCTTTGAAAAAAGCCACCTTTCAAAATCTTAGTTTTAGCCGGTTTATGGTATATTTCTTTCCCCCGAAGTTCGGAGGTTCAGTCTGTTACTAAAGTCGTCAGTACGTTTTACAACAGCGAAGCTCTTGCCAGGCCTATATTGCTGTAAATGACTTCTTATTTTATTCGACCATGATGAAAATAAACTTTTCTATTGACCATCAATGTGAACCAAATCAGATCATATGCATTTGCACTGAGTAGATTTGTACTAAAACATACATTTTAAGCTGTATACTTGGGTTTTTATGCCTACAGTATTTACACCTGTACTTTGTTTATTCAATGCTTAGTCCCTAATTTCCCTAAATATCTTTTATTTTTATGTGTCCTACTTCATCTGGTGAGAACTTTGAAATTAATCTCTTTAAAAATAAGTAATCTTGAATAGAAAACTGGATATTCTCTCAATATGCTTGTCTTTGTCATCTTCCATCAGTGACCCCGACAGAGAATGGAGATTTTTTTCTCTTTAAAAAGAAAACACAATAAAAGTGCATAATAAAATAAAGTGTAGTATTCTTCACAGTTGAATGCAATGCGCTCTTTCCTTTAGTATCCTCTTGGAAATGGTATTTGACCAGGGTTCTGTGCGTTCCGTTCCAGCTCCCTCTGCCTTCTCCTCTCCTGGTGTTGAGCTGCCAAAACGCATGAGGTCACACTGATTAATGAGCACCCAGTACAAAATATGTAGCTCCAAGATTTGTGGTGATCATTATAAAACCCATCTCTTGTAAATAAACAAAACAAAACAAAAAAAACACTGACAAAGGGAACAAAACAAGAGGAATTAATCAAGCATGACCCATGGAGGTCTCAGACTGTCACATCATATCTAGTTACGGTAGTTCATGTTAAATGTTCCACTTTAATGCTTAGAAAATGTGCAAATCTAACTTAAGCTCTGGGCAAGGAGACAGATGAATGTTAACTCCAAGATGTGATAAATAGTTTCACGCTTTTCATGGTAAAAAGTTTGTTTACCAACTGATAAGGAAGAAAAAGACAGATGGAATGGATGAAAAGTGCATTAAAAAGAAACGTTTATAGGGTGAGCTTAAAGAAGTCAGAGGTATGCTTGAAAATAGCAGCGATAAGAACGTAAAAATAAAACAATGCAACAGTAAAATGTAAAATAAATCATCTTAATGTAACACATCCTTGGCTTAATCCAAGTAATTAAAAGAAACAATTTGGTTTATTTATGGGAATTCTTTGAATAACTGTACTTCCGATCGGTTGTGAATGTTGCAGGAAAGTCCATGAATTGCAGCCCTGGAGTCAAAATGTCAGTATGTGAACAGCGGTATGGCAGTATTTACATGTATGTATTTTTCCCAAAAGAACCCTTCAAGCAACAACGTTGCAGATGCACAGACTGTCTTTAGATGCTTTACCTGACATAACAATACTCCTTTAAAGGACAAACTGTTATTTGATTTGACTGTTTTGCTTTTTGAGCCTCGTAGGTGAAGGTTGGTATTAGAGTCTCAGAGTTTCATAAGTTTCAGTAAAAATAATAGTTTACAAATCAAATAATATTAATATTACAAGGAAAATAAGAAATTCTGATAAAATATTGTACCTCACTGATCATCAAAGTTTTGCTTTTATAACTGATAACCTTTATTCAGTGTAGACTTAAACCTCTACTTGGCCACTGTTACCATAACTGACCCTGCTGTCAGGAATCCAGTTTGTGTGGTCTGGTTTTGTGTTTCCTTTTCTCCTCCACCAGGTGGTGCCCCGTCCTCATTGGGTCTCCCTGCACACCTGCAGCTCATTGCCTCATTACCTGTGGCATGTTCTTAAAAGAGAAGTTCACTTTTTAACACTTTAAGCCCATTTTCTGTAGTGTCCAGGATGAAATGACTGCTGACTGCCACTACCTCGACGCCAGAGTGTTTGCCAATACAGGGTACTCTAGCCATGCTTAGTTTAGCAGAGTCTAACCTGAGTTTTTGTTTGCCAGTTTTGGATTATCTAGCCAAGCTGAGTTTTTCTGAGTCAAACTGAGTTTTTGTTAGTGATGGTGAGATGAAGCCTCATGAGGCATTGAACTGTTTGGTTAAATTGCTTCAACGATCCCCACAGTTCATGAGGCTTCATGTAAACATGTCACCACCTACTGGTGGAGGGCAGAACCACAGTTTGTAATAAAATCTGTGATTTTTTTTGCAATTGTTTTTCTTTTTTCCCCCTTTTAAGTTCCCTTGCAATTGTTAATGGTTGGTGTGTATGATAAAATCTTTTGTAAGTTTTTTTTTAAGTGTAAGATTTCTTAGAACAGTCATTTAAGGTGCACCGTTTTTCTGCCATTTTAGTGAAATAAACTCAAGCAGACAGTGAAAGTGTTGAAATTGGGCAATGATGAACAAAATGAAAGGTGTTAGTCATTTTTATTCAAACATAATAGTTTCTCCATGTTTTTTGGTTTTAATCAGGTTGGAAGTTGTGTTCAACCAATCTTTTGACTAAACCAACCTAATTTTCCCATTCTATATTTTTACTCGGGCAAAACAATACAAATTAGTCTCATCAGCCAAAATAATTAAGTTTAATCGCAACTTTCAAAAGACAGAGACAGGTCTTGAACCATCAACCTCTAGAGTGAGACCCTGTCCCTTACAGATGACGCCACTCATGTAGACAGTTTGAACTGTTAGAAAATACTTCTTAAGACTGACGTGTTAACACTGGCTTTGTCTGGTGGTTTGTTCAAATTTTGATCATTACATTGTTTATTCAATCCAAATTAGCTTTAAGCAACTAGATTGGTTGGAAAGACAACCAATTTATTCTTAGAATCTATCCAAACTTTATCCTGCTGACAGCAGCTCTCCTCCAAACTCCCACATCTTGACTGAACACTGAGGCTGTTTAGATGCCTGTCAAAATTCTTGCGCTTCCCGAACCACTTAGCGAAGCGGTCACGTGGTATCACGGTAGCGAGGCCACGGACGTCATCAATTTTGGCCCCTCCTCTAAATGAATCACGCCTCGACACGCGCTTCGGGGAAACGCCCCCTCCATTACTCGACACGCGCCTCGAAGCCTCGGCTCATCTCCTAACATCACTAGTTTTTGTCAACCTGAGTCTTAACTTTGTTTTTGTCTTTGCCTCTCGGCAGGAAGTCATTCTGCAAACCTTCTCTCTCTGGAACGTTCAACTGAGCTTCTAACTGAGCTGGGGTTCCAAACAGGAAGTTTGGATCCACTTTCCCCAAGAGGTCGTTTGAGCTTCACTCCAAGCAAAGGTTTCTTCTGCACTACAGCCCGTTCAAGTACTACAGGAAATCTGAGTTGCAGTAAGCTTCTCCATTCACCAAGGAAGAACTGCAGTCTGAGTAACCCAGTCCACCCATCAACAGGCAAGACAATCTCTGGTACAATCCTCTCAGTCTGGACTCCATAAAGGACATCTTTCCCTGGAGAGGGGAGTCTGCAACCTTTTCCTTCAATTCTAAACCTAAGATTCAAATTTCCCACTGAGCCTGAACTAACCGCAGTGTCTTCCCCTCACCTTTCAGTCCCTGTTGAGCAGTGCTCAGAGCAGCACTGGATTCTTCACATTATTCCTAAAATAAACCTGTTTAAACTTTTCCCTGCTCTCTCTGTTTGGTCTTCTGCATCTTGGGGTCAGACTTTAATATAATCATGACACCTGCTAATAACCTGTTATAGGGCACTAAGTGAAATACTGTAGAAATCAAAATTGCAAGCAAAGAGTGATAATAAACATTGGAGTCTAGGAAAAGTAAAATTAATAAAATGCTACATTTGTGAGGGGCATAGACGTGATCAAAATGGTAACTAGACCTATAAATGGTTTAATCTGTTTATGCTGGTGAAGATTCTTAGTCATTCGGGTCATAGCCATTCCAAAAAAGTTAAAAAAAACAATCCACTGGACTTTGTTTCCAATTTTGAATATGTTTTGCTTCCCATCCAGGAAGCTTTTTCAATTTTTTTTTTACTTTAATGGACAAAAAAAGAGATCCTGACAAATTTTATCTGCATTGCTTTAGTGTTGGCATTGAAAGGGTTAGCAGCACTGACCTAAGTCACAAGTGTAGTTAGATTGTTTATGGTCAAAATTTGGTTGGTTGAATAATTAAGCTACATGAAAAACAGGAGCAGTTTATGACAGGCAGCCTTTATAAAATACTTCCTAAGAGGAAAGAAAATCTAACTTCAAACAAAATATGATAGACAAGCATGAATTAGTTCCAGTTGGAGCTGTTTTTAAAATTTTTAGGCTGTGATCTATGGATCTAAATCATTTCATTTTAACCTGGATGAACTTGACGATTAGTTTTTTTTTAAGGATAAACTGGCCCATCATGGCATATTTTACACAAAGCAGGAACCAAACAGGAAACCCTTAGATGCCATCTAGTGGTCAGAGCCAGAATGTCACCCAGATATTTTTAATAAACTAAAATTAAAATATTGTGATGGACAATAGTGTTTAATAAAACCATATTAGCAACCCTACAATTCAAATTTTATAAATGGCTTTGAAAAAACAAAACAAAAAAACAACTACAACAAAACATAACGACGACTAGCCGTGCGTGATGCCGCTAATTTCCATTCTAACTAAAATTTTATTTAATTATGTGAATTACTAGAATTACAAATTAACTAATTTAGCATCTGTTAGCCAGGAAAATGTATTAATTTGAGCTGAAAATTTGAAAAACTTAAGATGATATTATTAAGTACATCCAAACCATAATTGTGTAGACCTTTAGTTTTACCAATAACTTGTTTTTAGATTTCTATAGGTTTCTTTTTCGTATGCTGCCTGTTTTGTCATCCAAAACAGGCAGCATATGAAAAAAAGTGATATTGAAAAACTTTGCTATAGAGGTTTTGTGAATTTTCCTATGTTTGCATAGAGGGAGTGTCGGTGTTTACCCATGTTTTAGTCTTTGACCAGTTATGCTAAACATCTGCTGGCTGCAGCCTTGTTTCTTAAAATAAACCTACACCTCCGTCAGTTCATTTACCCTCTTAAAAAGAAAGGAATTAGAAGAGTAAGAAATACTCAAGCAGTCCAAACAAAGCCCTTACCCTGGTCCTTTTTAAGCTTGATCTTCATTGCCACCCCCATTACTAAGACAAGGACCAAAGCTGAAACACCACAGATCACCAAGATCAAAACTGCGTTGTCTGAGTGATGTCACATGGAGGGACAGAGTGAGAAAAAAGTAGAACAAAGAAAATATGAGGTGTTAAAATCTTTTACATTTTTCATGCATTCAGTAAAAGTAATAAAACAATTTAATAGTGAAAGCAGAAACAGAATGACTACTTACTCTCGATCTTGATATCGAATGTCTCTGATTCACAGCTGCCACATGAGGTCTTCACGCAGCATTTGTATTTACCGTTTTTTTCTGAGAGGACTTTTTCCATTAAGACTGTGTTGTTGTTATAGTCTTTCCTTTCTACACCATTCAGAAACCAGGCATAGCTCAGGTTCAGATTAGGGATGTTGTGAGAGCATGTTAGTGTTATGTCATCACCCTCCTCTATGGGGTCCTTAGAGCTTTTGATCTCAGCTTTAAACCCTGTTGGAAATAAAAAGATCATTTAGGTTTCAGAAAATAAGATTGTTGTTAGGCTTACTTCTTAGTTTATAAAGTAAACATCTTGGAGAACAATATCTACGATGTTCCCAATATGATCTATTTGGCACATTCCTTGTCTATGCAGGCAATAGTTCCAATGAATAACATGTATGCATGTTCAGTTGTTTTCTTTTTAAGTCTACAGACCTTCTTTTACCACACATCTGACTTAAAAATCATATGTAAAACTTCTAGCTCTTATCTTAAAGTAAACATGTTAAAAACAAAGAATCAACATACCTTTTTCGCACTCAGTGCTATTATAATCCCGCTCACAACATTCTACAAAATAAAAAAGAACAAAATACATAAATATATATATTTTGGAGAAGTCTTTAAGATCACTTTTATCATCAATGTTGACATTTCTGACCATAGTTCCTTGGTTTTTACCTTTGTCAATATTGCATCCCTTACATTCCTCAGAGACAGAGGAAGAGCAGACACAGGCTATAGAAAATAGAATATAGAAATGAATTAGATTTAAAAACAATCAACACCCAAGCAGAAATATTGGAGTATAACCAGATATTTGATGAGTTTTCACCAATAAGAAGTCCGACCAAAAGATCTCTCACTGTTCTGGTCATTCTCTGTAAGCTAAGAGTGATGCATGTAAGACAAATATAAAGAACATCTAGTAATGCCAAAAAAAAAAAAGTAAGTACTTAATACGTGCTTCAGATGTCTTGATTTTACCTGGATTGTAGCTCCGGGCGCGGAGTGGCGCAATGACCTGTTCTGCTTTGCTTAGTCTAAATGCCTCTGCTACAGCAAAAGCTAGGAAGAGCTGATTATAAACATAGATAAGGATGCAAATTCATTCATTCCTGGAGCCTCACAAACACTGCTACTGTTTTTTCCTGTTCCGAAGGCAGAAATGACAGCTGGTGATCACAGTGTGGGTGCAGCTTTAACGCAAATTTGTTCAAATATTTTAGGTCTCTATAAATACGAAAAGCTTGCTTCCAGGTTATCCACACAGAGAAAAGTTCACAGCCACACAAAATCAACAGGCATTAGTAAGCAAACTTTTACTATTGTTGAGGTTCCGTTTATTGATATTTTTAAAGACTAAAATAGACAGATGTAAGATGAAGTGAAGTATAAACTCAGAGAGTACTGAAGTACTGAAGTCTAGTCTGTTATCAGAAAAAAGCTGTTTTCCTATGCAAAGTAGCTGTTCTCTTGGCATATTACATATAATGAGACCCATATATAAGATACTCTAGCTAAGAAATATGTGGGTTGCAAAAAAAGAAGAATTTTGAGCATGCAGATATATTTAATAATAAATTGTTTTATAGTAATAGTTTTATTTATTCTCACAGTGGCCACTAGAGAGTGTTGCAGATCAACTTTTCTTCCCTTTTCCTCTGAGGAAAAAGGATTCTGGAGCACTTAAAAAAAAACAAAAAACAGAGAGATTTTGCAGAAGCCATGAAAGTGCCATTTAAGCACCAGCTTGTTTGAAAATACAAACAGAGAAAAGATGATCACTCAGAAACTGACAGATATTTTTAGGGGTGTATCTATTTGCATGTCAGCCACATCCAATGAAAATCATGCTGAATACGTGATCCACTTTTCTCCTGTTTCCTCTCTAGTTTATGTCCCCTAACATTTTAAAATGAAAGCAAAAGTCTGCTTTACTGACTACTCATGTCAGACACTCGAATTAGCTCAACCCAGTTCCTTAAACTGATAGAAAAACACCCTACATTTTAAGGAAGAACAGAAAAGAGGGAACATACCTTTACTCAAGTTTGATGTTATATTTCTTTCTACAGCTAAACTCTATAATAACACCCCTTGATATGTCAGATTACCTGTTCTGCTTCTATGCTGCAAGAAGGAACGCAAGGCTGTTGCTATAGGTGGTAGATAATGATGGACCTGATCTATATTACACACAACTGTCAGTTTAAAGAGAAAGAACAGGCCTCAACAAGTTTGAATCAGCTTAACGTTCATTACATTCATAATAGCTGCTTAGGAGGGAAGTTTCATCCTGGGTGTTTGAGTCATTACAGAAAATGAACAGCTCAATTTGTCTGGGAGGTAATTCTGATGCACTTTGTAGGGAAAACGTTAGTTAAGACATTTCCTGCCATTCAAGTTCTCCTCTAGGTTTATTTTGTAGAAATTTCATTTCCCCTCACCTCTAGATCTCTGTTGTTTCCAGTTATGTTTGTTAGTTTATTTCTCGTCCTTTTCATTGCTCTTATTTGATTCCATGACTTTTAGTATTTACTAGTCCTGCAGTCCGGGTTAAATCCATTCATTGATAATTAAACAATCTCTTAGTTTAAAAGGTAATGTTAAAATTATTTCCAACATCCTTACAGTCTTGCATTCTTTTTTTTTTTACGATCCTCATTCAGATGAGATGGGCAGATCTTTTTTTTTTTATACTGATCTTAATTTTGCTGGAGGTTTCTTCCTACTTCCTGTTTGCTGTTACGATATGCCTGCTAGGCTTCCCTCAATGAGACATTACTGCAAAATCAAAGACTTTATACCATTATCTGGATTTTCTTACACAGAATTTCCTCTTATCAATCAGCATTTGATAATCATCTATATCTAATCATGTTGAATTTAAATCAAAGCAGGATTTAACTGGACTGTCTCTGAATATTAATATATCAGTGAACTGGGGATAATAAAACTGGATTCAAAAAGGAGGCAGTAGAATTAACTCCTGCTTTCAGGACATTTTTTCCATACCTTGACTTGCAGATACTCTGTATTTTCACTTTCATAAAAGAAATACTAAGTAAGGGGGACTTTAAGATAAAAATGTAACTGTTACTTTGGGTTTCTTCCAGGTTCATATTTGGGTCCATTCAGAGAATTCAAATTGTAGCCTATAGCTCCTCTTCCTTAAGCTTTGGTGAGGTCGACAGTAAGAAAACCATTGTGGGTAAGAAAGCAACTCCTGACTGCTGACGCCAGACAGCCTTTATCTTTGGGGACGTCATTACAGGAAAGACATGCAAATTTGGAAAAAGAACAACAAGAGAAATAGTTACACTAACTGAACCAATGGATGACGCCAAGATATATGACGTAGAGGACATTTTAATGTGTCTAACAGAGCATGGTGAAGATATAAGCTATGTCCAAATATCCACCCTGACCACTTTATAGGGCACTGTCTAGGGGTTAGTTCATTTTAGATAAGTCTCTGAACGTCTAGTGGATGAAAAAGTAGAGAACTCGAAATTTCCTTCAATGCACCTTAAAGAGTTGTGATCATCTATGGTCACTGGAGCAGATAAATCCCATAATGCTTTGCGAGGAGAGCTCTCCTCGCAAAGCATTATGGGATTTGTTGTCACAATGGCCCACTGTTGCCATAGGCTGTTGCTACCAGAAAGTGGAGACAAATACAGTAAAGATGGGGCAGGCAACGTGTTGGGGAGGGGAGGTCACATGACTAACAGGGAGCGAAAAGTTGTATCTGTCCGAACAGGCAGTTAACTTAGTTCACTTTAAAGTCCACTCTATAGGCCCCACTCTATATAGTGATTGAGAGATTTAGGGGTTAGGGCGGATGTTAGAGCACAGCATGTGCTTGTTAAACTCTATAAGGTGGGCTGTGCCTGTATGTCCTGTCCTGTCATGCAAAGGATTGTGGGATTCCTTATAGGTCCTAGGCTCTAAATAGGAACACTGCGAGATCTATGCTACATGAACTATGATAGGAAGCATCCAGCTTATTTTCCTTCCTCCTTCCTTACTGCAAGCGCTTTTGAAGCAGCATCATGGTGACCGCTGACACTCTCCTGTTTTGGCTTTAGAGTCTTTACTAATCTAAAAAAACTCAGATGAATCTTTGCTGTCTTTAACAGTGGAAAGTGAACTAACACCAGTAAATGTGCCCTACTTTCTAAATACTTCCCTACTCAAATATGTTACATTTAATTTTCTTATTTTGCTAATTTGCACATTTCTGTTACTTCACCCAGCCTGAATATAGTGGATGCAAACTGTTAAGATAAGAGTCCTATTATGAGTGCAAAGGTTGACTCTCAGTTTTTTTCTTATTTACATACTTTATAATTTTTAGAGAGAAAATAAAAGAGCAAAATAAACAAAAGCCACAGCAATGTATGGAGATTACAAACAGCTATATTTGACGCAGTTTTAGCCTCACATGCAAAAGTAAAATTTGCTTTTTGATATAATTATTTCAAGGCACCTGAAATCTAAAACACACTCAGGGTATAGGTAACCATACTGAAATATGTAAAGTAGGTAAACTGTTGTAGCCAGACACTCTTTTAAACTTGAGATAAAATGAGTTATAGGTGTCAAAGCTTTCTTCAAAGAACAATTGCTTTATTATGAGCTTTCTTGCAGTTTTTTTCAGCCCATAAGTTTTCTGTTAATCAAATTAGGATGTTAAATGAAAGACTTCTTTCACTTAACATATTGAAGGATAAATAAAGTGCTCGATTTAAGTTCTTTTGTCAATGTTTTATTTACATTTGGGAACACACAGTTATCTCTAGCCCTCAGTAGTCCAATTTATAATCCACTGAGCCTTAAAAACTGCCATGCTGGGCATTAATGTAAGTATATTTTAAAACAAGAAGTTCAAACTTCAGATGGCAAATATTCACAGTTCACTGTTGGTTATTAAACAAACCATGACAGAAATGTTAAGAAATAAAAGATGAAATCTGCTCTGCTGGTCTAAATTAGCAGCCATTAATTAAGGCTGGACAGTGCCAGCTGTGCAGTTTTGTAGCACTCTTACAATGTAGACATGACCCACGGAGGAGGTGGATGTTGTCATTTATATGGTCTCACTTACAATGGTGGCTATCAATGGACTTTTAAACAGGTTTCCTGGCCTGAGAAACAGCTTCTCCCTTAAGCAACAGGGGAAATACCAGAAATGGCAAATCTGGGGCAAAAGAAAGGACACAAAGGTGAGTAATTGACTTCTCTATAAATTTAGCTTAAACATGCATATATGTTAAATAATTGCCTTAGCATTTTTTACAGGCCTACCCATTATGAGTTTTATGTAAAGGTTTATTATATTTTTATCTTTAGTCTAATTAGAAGCTAGACAGAAAGTGGCATCTGATTGCTTATTTGAAAAGCTTACAATTTCCCAGCTTGGAAGTGTCAAACTAAACTCCTCAGGACCTCTTAATCCTGCTAAGAACCTAATTAGTTGCTTCAGGTGTGTTACTTATAACAGACGCATTGAAAAAGGTGCAGGACACCAGACCTCAGGTCAGGAGTCTTGTCTGCATCTCTAATAATGAGAAACTAAACTATTTAGTAACGGTTTGTAAATAAAAGTAGAATTTTTCTGTAAAACAAGACGGTCTGATAAATGGCTTAAGGTGACCTGTTTTCTTAACTTGTTTTTTATACTTATCTTAAATGGGTGCTTTTAATTGTGGGTGTATATAACTCTAACTCTGTATTTAGATTAAATGCGTGGTTAAGTACGGTATTTAAAGATGATGGGAGTTGTCAATCAATGGTTGAGATTTTTGGCAATATGTGGTCAGATAACACAGTGAGGTTGCTGTTCTGGTTTATGGCATTTATTCAATGTTGCACAAAGAAGGTGCTGTTTCGGAAGTTACATATTGTGAATTGCTGGTTTATTTAGTCTCTTTAGCTTTACTGCTTTATGAAGAGGCTCCCGAGTTCTTTGATCAAAATGCTAATAGTCTAATTTGGAGGACTTCAACAGGAGGTCCGCGACCTCTAGGGGGTCCAAGGAGGTACTGCTTGGGGGTCGCAAAGGTTTTGTTGCTTAGACTTTTTTTGTTTTGTTTGTTTTTTTATATTCCCCGCTGTAATTTTTCTCACTAATTGAAATATCTTTAAATAAACATTAACACGAATTCAACACACTATAGTAAACAGATAAATGGAGGCAGATGTTGTCTTTCAGTCATCAGTGCACACATTCAGCGACACACAGGAGCTCTTTCAAACTGGGCACCATTTCATTCTCAACACCTGTCCCATAAACCAGGAATAAGAATGAGTAATACTTTAATAATCTCAGAGCAAAATTACTTTGGTTACAAAATCCCATCTGTAATAGAGTGACTATAGGACCAGTTTGATATAACACAATTTCATAAAATATATATAATCAGGGGCTCCCCATTCCATCTCGCCATCAGTTTGGGGGTCCTTAGCCTGGAAAACGTTGAAGACCCCTGTTTAATTCAAATGTATCTGTTTAAAACGATAAATGATAAATTTAGCATTTCCAAATGGAAATTTCACCAAAGTTAAATTATTTTCACAAACAGAAGTTCAAACAACTATGCCTTCAACAAGCCTATACTAAAAAAAAGTATGTTGAGTTAAAAAACATATAAGACTCAAGTTCCTTAAATTTGTCTGAGCATTTTTTTTTTTTTCAATATTTTTTTTAATAGGGTAAACTTGAGAGATATTCAAGTGTACCAACATTGTTCATTTTAACTGGATACATTTGTGTTTATATGAATTTTTTTGTCAAGTTAAAAACTTTCAGACAATGCACAACAGTTTTGTGGAGAAATAAAATTTTGACACATCAAACTAAAACTCAGCTGCATGGTTCTGAAAGTCTGTACAGCAGCTGAACTGCACAAAAAACGTTGTCAATCTGCCTGCGTGCCCACATCATAGTTACTCAAGATGTAGGTTGAGAACAGTTTGATCATAGTAACCATACTTCCTCTTCTGTGGCTTGTTGCTATGGCGAGACTTCCCTTCCAGGCAGGAAGTAACAGGAGGACCCAAGTGATGTCTGCGTGTTTATGAGGACGGTGCACCAAGTTTGGGTGGAGCACTTTGCTGTGTCCCTCTGAGAGAGCATAGAGGTTCTTAGCATTTTTATCTAGTGTCGGGGGCCACCATGGCGAAGAACAGCAATTCATTAGGGATTCCTGTTGGCAGCATGGTAAGAATGTACCACTTTATTTAGGTTTTACAATGGTTTCTCTAACTTCAGATGTTTCAAGTTATTTATTTTTTTTGTGAGATTTTTTGTCTGTCAATCTCCAGTTTTAAAATATCAAAATAGCCTCCTTTTGCATAAATTTTCTTCTCATGTTAGTCGACATTTGGTGTGGAGCATCAATACTGTAGGGTCGATGAGCAGTTGTATCATGTTGGCTTGCGATGCCTGACTTCACTGCTCTGCAGGACCCGAACCAATCAGGCTGTGTGGTTACAGTTGGTCACCACTGAAGACAGGCTGGTCTTTAAGAGACAGAAGCAGGAACCAAGTCATGCATGTGGTCCAATCTGTCCTGTGTAGTCTGCATTGGCTTTAATTCACTTGCCATTTCCTAAAATGGCTCAGCTGTTAAGTAAACATCTTTTCATAGATGTCTCTAATGAAGCATGGAAGTCTTGGTTGTTCAGTAAACTGCTTGACTACTGCTTTGCATTAAACTTAAGATAAAATTCTCTTCATTTGTCAAGTTCCTTCTGTTTTCATGTCGGTTTCTGCCTCAAGTACATAAAGTAAAATGTGTGCATGCCAGATAATGCCACCTCATTAATTTAATGAAGTATATCTAACTTCTCTTGTTAACTTCCTGTAGACACACTATCGATGTTTTCTTTTTTTTTTTTTAGTTCAAAATATAAAAAGAAAGCAAAAAAAAAAAAACATTAAATGCGGAAGTCAAAGAGTTCAGTTGCAGCAAAAAGTCAATACCTTGCTATTTAGGATTCTGTTAAAAATAATGGCTGAGACACATTGTGATTATCATCAATGACAATTAAAGCTCTAAAACAGAAAAGTACTTTAGATCATATCTTGCATGCATTTTGCATCCATAAATTCACTTTTCTTTACTTTAACTTTAAACCCTTCGTCGACCCCCCCCCCCCCCCTTTTTTTTCTTTCTCTTTAACTGATACCTTTTTTCAGGGGTTAGAAAAAGATTGTACAACTTTAAAACTGTGAATTTGACCTAAGAGACTTGATGTTAGAATATGCAGAACTTTTTTTTGTAATGAAACTTAAACTGAGGATGCAAAAAAAATAACAGAAGCAGGAGTTTGTATACATGTCTAGTTCAACAATTTAAATCCAAGAACAACCACATTGTAACCAGCTTAATTCCTCAGAAACTAATTTTCAGTCAAACTAATTGAAATAAATTTGAATGTAAACCCTGACGATTAACTGTTCACTAACTCAACTTAATGAAGTTCCAAGCAGGGGATTTGGGGATGTCAACTTTTTAAACTGCTGCTTTACAGGAATTCCTCGTGGACAAATATGTCTGATTCTGCAGAGAATGTTTATTAAGAAAGGAAAACAGGTAGTTTTTGTTTTTTGGATGACAAACACCTTGTGACACAAGTGGAATTTTGGCAGCTGTTACTCAAACAGCCATTTATTAAAAACAGAGTATGTTGAATAACAGCTCTAAAAGTACAACTGGTCAAATCTTGAAGTAGGAACTACAATTTACACAGATTAATCAAATGGTAATATTAGACTGAAAAACATGACCCGGTCCTTCAATTTTTTTTCAGCTGCAACATCCCGATGGAGGAGTTTAAGGTTTTAGGTAAACATCATAGAAGCATGGATCCATCTTGACTTTTATGCTCTAGGCTGGAGGCCCACATTGGACTCTCTTTAGTAGGACCATGTACATCTACTTGTAATGTGTACCTGTAGATGATGCACAAAGCTCTAATGAACTCCAATTGTTCTTGTTTCTGCAGCCTTTATGCTATCATTTCAGTATAGACTAAAATCTCTGAATATATCTGAGTGGAATCCATTCCATGGAGCAGGGGTCACCAACGTGGGCCCTCAAGAACCACATGGAGTGCTCTCAGTCTTCTGAAAATAGAACAACTCATCAGTTTGCTTCTTGTTTAATCGCTTTAGAGCATTTCAAAATGACATTGTCTAAAATAAAAGAATGTTTATGATGTACGAAGTTTAGCTGAAAGCTGACCCTTTCAGTTCATTGGTCAGTATTTGTCACCCTTCCTATGACTCTTGAAGTGGCCCTCTCCCTAAAAAGGTTGGTGACTCCTTCCATGGAAAACTGAGGCAATGCAAAAGAGGGGCCTGTTTGGGTTAGGGGGAATCCAGTAGTTGTTTCATTTTTAGAAATAAAAAAAATAGATTAAAACTAGAAATGGAGCAAAAGTTGATGTGTTCATCAATAAACAGTTGAAACAGAAGCATGTTCTTAAAATGGTGCAAAAGAAGCTTTTGTAGATAATAAGCAAAGATGGTGGGGAATTGAGGGTAAGAGATCCTCCACTGTAATTAGATCTTTATATTTGGAAGTTAGCACTTTTTTTTTTTTTTTAGCCAATATCCTCCACAGATGAACAGACATGGCAACAGTCACACCTCTGAGTAATCTTAACTTACCAGCCCACATGTGTGTAGCTTGTGGGAGGAAACAGACCCCCCCCTCGCACATTGGGAAACCCAGACAAAAGAACACGCACTCCTCACAGATCCCATTCATCTCTACTTGAATGATATCACCTTTTTAAAAATTTTGAAAATATTTTCTACGCTTTTGTTATTCTTCCTCTGTTCCAAGGTTGTTTAAAACTGTCACCCGTCTGCTGCTGTGAAAGAACTTTTGCAAGATGTGAATTTTTTTTGTGTGTGTGTGTGTGCTCTGAAAGCTGAATGAGAGCTGTTGTCATCATGTTGAAACCACTTCCTGTTAAAACTGTCCTGCCTCATTGCGCTACATTTGAACAAGGAGTAAAAAAACATGCAGCTGTTCACTTTCATTCCTAAATGTGTCTATTGTAGGTGGTTGAATGCCGTTTATAGCTGCTGCTGAGATGTTTTTCTAAACATTGTCAGACTTTATCCTGTCCTTATATTTATACAACTGGACAATAAGTGTGATAATGATTAGTCATTTTATTTTAGGTTTATTTTTTACACATAAGGCTGGTCTATGACAGGAACAGCATAGCTGGTTTACAATTTTGTGTTTTATAAAGTGCTGTGACTTCTTTCTGTTTCAGGTTCAAGCGGTGTCAGATGGAGGTAAACGTTCATACAGCTACCTTTTTTACATATCCAAACATGTTTGAGCATGAAAAGATCTGATTAAGCCTCAAAGTCAGGCTTTCATTTAGGTCGTTGTTAAAGGGTGTGTGTGTGTTTGTGTTTTAGAGCTGAACATGTCTGCACGAGGCAGCGGAGGCAGCAGTTCCAGCCTTCCTGGGACCCCGGGAGGCGATGTCAACCCTGCCAACAGCGTCCTGAGCTGGGCTGTGTCCTTTGAGAAGCTGTTGGAAGACCCCTGTGGAGTTGGTTACTTTACGGTGAGAGCAACTCGGGACTCTTTTGGAGTTCTAGCTGTTGAAATCATTTATGTACAAATGTTTTTTTTTGAATATATTTTCATGCAACCAGGCGTGTTTGCTCATGCTTTGTACATATTTCTCTACAGGCCTTTTTAACGTCAGAAGTCAGTGCAGAAAACATCTTATTCTGGAAAGAATGTGAAAAGTTCAGGAAAATACCAGCCACCTCTCTGGATCAGGTATGATCAAACTCTTTAGCTGATGCCTTAGTTATATTCAACTCATTATCCTTTGATTTATAAGCCTCTGCCTCCTGCCTGAATTGTAATTTGTAGATATACTCTAAAGTAAATTTCAGTGGTGTTTGGGCAAGGCCTTCAGAGTAATTCACAAGATTCAGTATACAATAAAGAATATAGTATTTAAATGTTGGAGGTGATTACTCAGGTTTAAAGGGGATTGGTCAATTTAAACCAGCTTACGACACTCTATTTACTAAATATAAGCAACAAAAAAATTAAATAGATAAATAATAATCCCAAAATGTTTCTGTTTTGCTTAAAGCTTACATCTCTGAGTCACACATGTAGTTTACAGAGGTGTCTGACTTTCATTGGTAAATGCAGTTTGGGGGCTGATTTTTAGATGAACTACAGGAAGAGACTTCAGACTTTGTAGGTCTTTGCAGAAGTATTTATAGTCCTTAAACTCTTCTAATGAATTCTTAACTGCAGTAAAAAAATAATTCATGGCTACAAAATTATACAGAAAACTGACCGTTTTAACATACTGAGTCAGTATTTACTATATTTACAGCAACAGGTTCTTTATAAAATGATCTCTTTACTAGCTTTAAATATTCCTCAAAGAATGAGGGTCATGTTTGGTAAGGTTGGAAGATGGGACTTTAAACCTTTTTTTACTTTTCCAACTTGCCAGATATTTAAGGCCTGCATTTAACTAGACTAGTTGACCACATCTGCATCCTTTGATCTAAAACAGAGGTGTTCAATCTTGGTCCCAAGGACCAACTTTCTGCATGTTTAAAGTATTTCCCTGCCTCCAAACAATGACTTACCCAGGTGATTGCCAGGCATTGGAAGGTCACACTATTGTTTAAATCAGGTTTGGAACAGAGATGNCATGTTTAAAGTGTTTCCCTGCCTCCAAACAATGACTTACCCAGGTGATTGCCAGGCATTGGAAGGTCACACTATTGTTTAAATCAGGTTTGGAAAAAACATGCAAAATGGCAGTAATTCTTACAGATGAGGGTCACAGACATCTAATTTGTTTTTTTGTTGTTGTGCTGGCTGAATGTAAAGGGTTTAAGTCCTGCTGGAAGGTCAACCTCAACCAGTCCTTCTAGGATCGCTCTTGCGTTTAGCTCAACCCCTCTCCTTAACAGCTTTAGGTTTTATGTCCCTACTTAAAGAAAAGTATTACCACGGTGATTGCCACACTTGTACCACAGCCGGTGACCAAAAGCTCATCCGATCGTAAAATGTCTGCTCTGCATGGCTGATGGTCTGTTTATGAATAATTTTTCCAATGACTTGTACTGTTGCTGCAGATTTCACCTCATCTGATTTAAAGAGGGGGAAAAAAAAAACAAAATAAAACACTAAACATTATTCTGGAATTCCAATAATAAACAGTTATAACTTAGCTGTACCTTTATACTTAACAGTTTGAACTTGTTTTTATAGTGCTGCCTTTCCATTAATGTTCTGTTTCACACAAAAAAAAATTTTCAAGCTGACAAATGAAAGCTGGGTTTACCCTGATTATGCCCAGCTACAATATATAGTACTTAGCCTTGTTTTTTCAGGCAACTGTTTAGACTTTTATTTTTTCTTGCATCACACTTATTTGTAAAAACCTTGAATAAGTGTTTATTTTCCTTCTGCGTCACAGCTATACTCTGCTGTTGCTCTATCAGCTAAAATCCTTGTGAATATTTTTGTTGTAACGTGACAAAGTTGAAAGTTTAATATCTTTCATATTAAATGACTTAAGGACATTATTTGACCTGTTTTTTTATTTGTTTGTGGTCTCTACTGATTTATTTTAACGCAAATTCTGTTTTCTGCAGTTAAAAGCAGCAGCTCGCTTTATCTATGACACCTATGTGTCTGACACCGCTCCCTACTGTGTGAACATCGATGACACTGCCAAGACGGAGGAGAAGGACCTGGAGAATCCCACTCCTGAGATGTTTAACAAAGCTCAGGCCCAGGTTTGCAGAAAGATATAATTTAATGCATCAGTAGTACAGGTATTTATTGCTTCATCTGGGGCTCAAGTCTCCTGTTTTTGTTTTTTTGTTTTTTTTTATTGCATTAGATCTTCAAATTGATGAAGATGGACAGCTACCGGCGCTTTGTACGCTCTCCTCTCTACCAGCGCTGCACTTTGGCCAGTGTAGAAGGGAAACATTTACCTCAGATCTCGAAGGAGCCGGTCCGCATAGGTTCCTGGGAGGACATGTTCAACAGGAGTTCCCCGAGAGACAATAAGGTCATTAGATTAAAGGACGGCACTTTCAGGGTTCATTATTGTTGTTCAACCTTGGTTTCTGTGTAATCTGTCAAACAGGACAAGTCCGACTCGAATAGCCTGCCAGGTGCTAAAAGTGAGAAACAACGACATAAAAGAGGATCCTGGGGAGGTATTGGCTCTAATGTCATAAACAGACCTTTAAATGATAACAAGAAAAAAAACAATTAAATGCGTGTCTTTTTGTCTGCAATCAAAGATGCATCAAATGGCCAAGGCTCAGTTTTCGTGAAGGGCTCAAACATGTCTACCAAATCAACCAGCAGTGTGGAGCTTGGCTCCCTCTGCAGACAGATGGAGGTCAGTACAACTATTGCAAATATTAGGGGCTGCTTTAACTCATATGCATAATGTGACACTACTGTTAATAGGAAATAACTAGCATGTAATCCTGAAGTTGGCAAGCAGAGCTTGAAGTTAATCAGTCTTTTGCTGTGCAGAACGGTCGGCCCAGTTCCAGCAACCGTGATCAAGGAGCTGCCATTGGGAGTCGTCTGGGGATGGAGGGAGGATACTGCTGTGTCTACCTGCCTGATGGCAGTGCCTCTCTGGCCCCTACCCCTAATGGCCAGCCAATCAAGGACATGCTGGCTAGCCTGTGCGAGAAACGGGGCTTTCCATTAAAAGATGTCATCATTTACCTTCATGGCAAGGACAAGGTCAGAGCTTCTTCTGTGCCTAATCATGCTGCATCACTTGGTTTAGATAAAAGCAGCAGTGTTGCTCTAGGCATGTTGGTTAACCATATGTGAGATGGTTACCGCTTCCTCATCCGACTTAGTTTTGTCTTTGCATTTTAATTTCTGAACATTTTGATCTATACCATTAATTGTCTTTACAATTTTATCCTGGTTTCATCCGTCTGATGCACTGTTGTCTTTCTGCAGCCCTTATCGTTGGAGCAGGACTGCTCTGTGCTGAGGGATCAGCAGGTCTCTCTCGAGCTCAGGGTGATGTTTACGTGAGTCATCTTAGTCACTTCCTTTTTCTTTTTTTTTCTTTTGTATTAGTCACCATAAGCAGACTTTCTCGCCCACACCTAACCATATTTGGGGGAAATCCTTATCTTCGTCTGAGACACATTAGCTTCCTCTAAATACATGACCAAATTAGGTTTGTTTCCGATATATGTTAATAGGACATTAGGTGTTTACTTATTTTGGTGTCTGTCTATGGGATTGTTTTTAATATGATGTCTGAGGGGATTTTGTTGAAAATGCTGTCATGTCACAGGCTGGAGAATGCCTTCACTGGTAAGACAGTGGCAATCATGGTGAAGTCCAGTAAGACGCTGCAGGACGCCCTTTCTGCAGTGCTGCAGAAACACCACCTAAAGCCCCAAGAAGCTGTGGTCACCATGGTAAGTGGGTGTTATCTCCAAGTGTTGCAACTTATGTCTGAAAATGTCTTTTAACATCATAAAGTCAGTAATTTACATTTGCTAATATTTGCAATACACCAAGTTTATTGTACAGTTATTAGAGAACTGCTTCATAGAAATACTTCTATCAAATAAAGTAGATCAACATAAATTGCTCCCTTTAGAGCTGCGTGGTATATTAACAATAGCAGCTTAAATGTCACCATCTGCAATATCTCAAATTACTGCTTGAATGAAATGTTTACAAGGAAAAAAGCATCATATTTAAAATGCTGTACATTCGCGAAGCATGAATACATGATTAAATGCTTTTAATACCCACACCGGGCAAATATTTGTTGGGGTTTAAATGCTGATACTTGTAGAGAGTTAGAGGCATTGGGTATTTGTAAAAGAGAAATAAACAATGTATTGCTGCACAACAAATTTGATGCTATTATGGAAGAACTTATTGCTGAATGGTTTTACTCCATATCCTTTGTAACATCAGAGTCTCTTTGAATTTATAACACGTTTTAAGAACCATTAAAGCTTTAAGCATGTTGGTCAGAATATTAAAAAGCTGTATTATTACTGGTCTTTGTATATCATATCTAAATCAATATTATCTTAAGCTTACATGTTTTTTTTGCATTTTTTATTGTTTGTATTTCAAATGGGACTCAGGGATACGTTATCATACAAAATTATCTTTTTTTCATCCACTCTTATTCAATGAAAAGAGGGAGAAAGGTCAACATTTTCCTGAAGATTGAGTTATGTTATTCATTTAGCTATCGGTGGTATTGCAAAGTGCACACCTGAGATGGGAAGTAGTAACCCCAGAGCCTTCATTTCTTATTTGAAGTCATAAGATGATTCATATCTGTCCAAAGGCCAGTTTCTCTTGATAATCATCTCTTAAAAATAGCCCACTTATCAGTTAATGGTGCATTTGTGGAAGAAGATGTAATCCTAACTTTTTTTAGATTAAAAATACCATTTTACAAAGGTTTTAAACATACTTTTGTTTAAGACCACTTTTTTGTTTTTTATCATTATTATTATTCTGCAATTGTAAACTTAAATGTTATCTTTCAATTTGGTTTGAGCAGGAAATCATAACCAAAATAATAAGGCTAAAAACATCTTTGCAGTGTGATTGATCTAATGTATTTTACTTGGGGGAATTAAACTGAACTGAGCAAGATGTTTAACAATTTAATTCAATTTAACTGTATACGTTACTTCATAGTTCAGGTCGTTCTGTATTCTTTCTATTACAAAGATCTGCCTAAACGTGCTTAGATAATTCTGACAGGATTTCCTTTTCTGTTTCTGTGGGTTTCAGGTTGGAAGTGACGAGCCTGTGAACCTGAGCTGCTCCGTCTACAGGCTGGCCAATAAGATGCTACGGTTGGACAAAGCCAAAGGTTAACATGCCTAATTTTTGCTTTTACAACTGTTTAATTAGTGAACTAAACTGAACAAGTCTGCATAAGTAACCTTTAAAACTAAACGGGAAATGCATCAGAAGAAATGCGTTCTGATCTGCATCACCTGTTAGTTGATTGTGCAGACGTCATTAAAACTGCTCTCCTCTTGCATGTGACTCTTATGCTTTATTGTTCTCCAATGACATGTTGTGCATTTTATGACTGTTGTACCTTGAATCTGGAGGGGATGAGATTTTTACTTTCCTTCTAACTGTCCTGGTTTCTCTACATCCCATCTTTCTCAATCCTTACATTGACTAATCTGATTTTTTTTTTTCCTGTTACTTCGCTTGGTTTGAAGTGTCGCAATGCATTTGATTTGTTTAACCTTGTCATTTTCTGGCTTGCTCATCTCTCGGCTTTACTTCATAGCTATAGCTTTGGCTTTGTTTCGTTTCACTGAGTCCAGGAAGAAAAAAATTGACGTATTAAGTTTTTTATTTTTTATTTTTTATCTTGGTGAAAACAGGTAAAGATCAGAGCATCATTCCAAGAGGGGGTGGTTCTTCTCCCCATACACAGGTGAGATGACATTTGTTAATACATTAACATTTTTTATTTTCTCTTAAGTGTTTGTTGATAATGCTCATTCCACAGTTTAGAAAACCTAGATAACTCACTAACTGTATCTTATCAGGGTGCTACGATGTTTGCAAGGCATTGTTTTTTTGTTTTTTTTTTTGTTTTTTTCTTTCGAAAGATTAGGCTTAATCTAGAGTTGGTGTGGAGTTAAACCATACAGCAACACTGTCTCCTTGCTAAATTATTCAGAAGGGATTTTGCATGGTTTCTTTATTTTATTTTTTCAAAGGAAGCCATTCTACAAGAGACTCAGCTTTTCTTGGTGCTTTATTATAGATATTTTCAGGTGGGGAACAATTTTTGTTAATAAAACTAATCTTTATGACAGTTTAGAGTACTTGTTTCATTCACAGTACTGGCCCGCTTGTAAAATTTATTAAGGAAAAAAAAAATCCTTTTCAGAAGTCCTCCTACAGTAAGCCTTGAAAATGTAACAAACTCCTTCTCTGAAAGAAACTTGAAAAGAACCAAGGTCTATCTTTGTGTTATATAAAAAAAAAAAGGTTAAGTTTTTAATATCTTTAGTAGTAATGCAGATATTGCTATATTGATCTAAAAGTGTTTTTTTGTATTAGGCATGTCTTTTTCTACAAAGCTAGCAGTAAATTCCAGTGTTAAATAAGAAGTGTCGTAAAAATTACGTAGAATTCTGATTTAACACTAATTCCAAATGCACTATTGAAGTGTTACTTTAACACTGCAAAAGTTACTGCGTTGAGCACATCTGCAAAATTTTCCTGCCTTTTGGGTAAAAATGGAAATGTGACACTTGTGTGTTAAATCACATTTACAAAAACAGGCCAGAGGGATGTTTTAAAGAATTTCTGATCCTTTTTAATTTTTTTAAGATTAATATTTTTTTTATACAGTATATCTTGCCCCTGCGACAGTCTAAGATAAATCAGCTTTTTTGTTAACTGCATAAAATTCCTTAATTCACAGCTTTTTATAAAGCAAGTCAGTGTGGCTCTTTTTCATGCCTTATGTCAAATTAAACATCCAATTACTGTTGAAACTGGCTGCCATTCAAAGCTATCCACTGATTAAAAAAAAAATAAATTGCAAAAACTGTTTTTCACGATGGCAGATTTAAAATCTACCATCAATGACATTAGTTAAGGGTTTTTTTTTTGTTTTTTTTTGTTTTTTTTAAATGTACAATTGGAATCTTGTTATAACGATGCTTATGTAATTACAAGGTATAATATCAATAATGTATAAATCATCTTTCTTGCATCTATTTTTGCACCCAGGCAGGAGCAGTAAGTGCATCTCTGGAGCCTCGATCATCAGCACAACCTGAGAGAGTCAGGACACCACACAGACCCAGTAAGAACCGCGACATGGACGGTAGGACCCCAATGCAATAGCTTGGCACGTTTGCACATATTGTTTATTTGTTCTCTGGATCCCAAGATCACTGTGGGTCATTGAGGGGTTAAAGAAAATCAAATTAATATTTCTAAGAAGTATATTAAATAAAGTCAACTTGAGTCAGGATGAGGTCCAATAAAAAGCAACTATGGATTTTTTGCTTAAGAATTCAGGATCACATTCAAAAAACTTCAAGGTGGAATTTATGTAATGGACTAACAAAGAGTGGTAGAAAAAAATGTATTTGTGAAAGAATTGGTCACTTAAAAGCTTTTGAATTCCAGTGATGTACTAGTAGGCGATCTGTGCATAAAGTACATTAAAAAAAATGCCTCTCTCCTAAAACTTCCAAAGTTCACTGTCATTAGCTAAGTTTACATGCACAAAATTTCAGGATTGGATTGTAATGCATTTTGACTCAAGACAACATATACCATATTTTCTTGACTATAGCACACTCCTTAGTAAAAGCTACACCACCTAAGATTTTTATTTGGTAATGTACATGTATATAGAAAAGGGGTGGACCCGTTCTTCTGGTTCAATTTGCAAGTCTTTGGGCTACCATATAAAGCTTCAAACTCGATGCTAATTCTGACATTTTACATTGAAAAAGTTTCCTGGATGGGAAGCAAAATGTCTTCAAGCTTGGAAACCTAGTTCAGTGGTTTCCAAGCTTTTTTTGGTATGATGTGGGGTTCACATACTCGGGTCTTATTACCTTATTCAGAATAACTTGATCCTGAAAAGCGTCTACATGCATCTCGATCGGTTTGACAATCTGCATAAATCTATCCTCCTCTGTTGGATTACAATTTCTTCCTCCCAATGCCAAATTGGATCAGATGCTTCTGACTGACAAGTTTAGGTGACATATTTTTAGTCCAATCGGCCATGTATTCAGATTACGTATGTTCATGCAAACAGCAAGTGGTGCTATACCAATGTAGAAACGGTTGGAGCAACAGCAGCTCAGCTTTGAAATTGGTAGGCCACTTAAACCGATGGAAAGAAGGCAATGGATGCTGAGGTGCACAGTTTTTAGTGGTCAGTTACTTTCTACATTAGTAAAGGATTAGTAAAGGTCCAAACTCGATAGGTTAAGAAATGTGAGGAGAGGGCTTTATTGAATGGGTTTTCATGAAAGAAATCCAAGCCATATATCAACCCAGTGAAGCACCATTTGCAGTGGTGAAAAGCATGTCGCTTTCTTTAAATTGACAAATTGAGCTTTTCAATCCGGCAACCTAATGGATGAATCTGTGTTTTGCAGTTGCCAGGAAATTGGTACTTGTTCCCATGAAAGGGAACAAGTAAATGATCTGAGATTTTTTGCATTTTCCTGTTTCCAACTTTGAGGGAAAGGTTTGGAAATTATGCCTTCCTCTTCCAACATTACTATGATCATATGCTACTTGCTTTGAGCACAGATTTGTGTCTGTTGTGGATGAGTTGAACTTGATTGAGCACCTTTTGGGATGGGTAGAATCAAGACTTGGGCTCAATCTGAATACCTCAAATTGTAGTTCCCAGCTCCTATCCCTTAACCTATCGGGGAGCCAAAATTAAGAACACTATCCAGGGTAAGGAAAGGACTTTCAGACTGATGTGCTGAATCCAGACGGCCTCCAGCCTTATTGACATTATTAGGTGAAAATAGGTAAAACTAATCTACGTACGTTTATACGCTGCTCGATAAATAAAGGGAATATGTAAACAACACAATCTAACTTCAATGAAATCAAACTGTCTACTTACGAAGCAAAACTATCAATTTCACATGCTGTTGTGCAAATGTAATAGACAACAGTTGGAAGTTATTGGCAAGAGTGGTGGACCACAGACCACTTCTGAGTACCTATTGCTTTCTGGCCAATGTTTTGACTCACTTTTAAATGTTGGTGGTGCTTTCACACTCATGTGGGACATAGAGACAGCCTCATACTACCACAAGTGGCTCAGGTGGTGCAGCTCATTCAGGATAGTGCGTCAATACAAGTTGTGGCAAGATGGTCTGTGTCTGTCAGCGTAGTGTCCAGAGGCTTGAGGTACAACCAGAAGACAAGTGTATGTGACGTGTATGTATTGGCACTGGGAGGCTTCATACTTCCTTGTCCTAGCTCCTTCCTAAATGCTACCACTATTCAGATAGCACAATGGCTTTAAATAGTAGAAGCCTATGTCTGGACTTTGAGAGGGCCAGTATGAGCTATGAGTATGCTTTGCTGCTAGCTATCCTGTTCGAAGGTGAACTACAGTATGACCAACCTCACAGCCTCTATTAAAATAACACCAAAATAAATAAAATAAAATCCACACAGCATCCCGTCATTAACAATGAATAGTGTAGTGAATAGAAATCTTACTAGTAATGCAAGCTGCTGGGTGATTCCAAAGCTCTTGCATGTGTGATTTAAGGGTAAGGTCATTCTAGAAAAGGAATAAAAAAAGCACTTTTTTTTTTCTATGTTAATATTTTTTTCAATGAAAGTGTTCCCCAAATTGGATTTGCATTGTGTTGTTCTATAGCATAAACTTTACCACACTTATCACTTGCATCTTACCAATAAATGGTTCTGTTGCATATTGCTCAACATTGTTGCATCTTAACAGTAACCTGCAGGATTAACATGATTGTCTTAAATTGCTTTAGGGTTTCTGGATATGCTGACAAAAGCTCAGTGCTGCAGAGTAGATGACCAGAGAGGCCTTCTGACCAAAGACCAGCTAGAGATCCCCTTATTTCTGCAGCGTCCTTCAGACCAGAGACAGAATGCAGACAATCCCTCTACAACCAGCTCTTTCAGTGCTGACTCAAAAACTGAATCGGAGGACAAAGAAATCTCTTCTGCTGTAGCCAAGAAACCTGAGGAAAGTTCTGTGGCTCCTAAATCTGGATCTAAAGACTTAAGGGAAACAAACGTTTGATGGAAAGCTGTGTTGAAATACAATAATAAGCCTTAAAACCCAATGAACAGAACAAAAATGTGACATTATTTACATAAAAAGATATTCTTGGTGTAAATGCACTTTTTTTAGTAAATAAGCTTGGTCAGCAGTATATATATATTTTAATTTTTTGGGACCTCAGTATTTGATCAAATGGCCTGTTAAAGAAAAGTTTGGTTAGGAATAAAATATATGGAAAACATTTATTGTGTAATTTATGAAACACTACAGATCCCGATTTGAGAATGTGTATAAATTTGTACTGTACCCTGTATAAAACATTCTATCTTAATATTGAAGTCTGGAACATGTTATTGATGTAGCAAGTCAGTCAAACCTGCAGTCATTGTTGTATGTTAAAGCTAAAGCATAACAGTGTCTTCAAAGTAAACATTTGTTCTGTACAGCCCTCAAAAACAAATTTGCATGACTTTGCTTTATGGTTAAATGTTATATGAAGAGTAGCTTAAATTACTTGAAAATTTTGTTTTAATTGTTGTGTGCACTTTTTTTTAATTTTTATTTTTTCCATGCATGTTTTGCATGCTATGCTGTGATAGCACTTTGAAGCTCTGATCATGTCCTGTTTCCAGAAATCCTTGACTGCATTTCAGGGTCCAAGTGATTAACCATTTGCTCGTTATGAGGGTATCTGATCCAGTGTTATTGTAATATTCAATGAAGTGTATCTGACAGTTTCCATACTTAGACCTGATTGTTAATTTCTTGCATGGAATGAGTGTAAACTGAGCTTTTAAGCCTCAGTGATTGTTTTTTTTTTTTTTTTTTTTTTAAATCAGATCAATTTCTACCTGAAGTAATGATCTGGATTAAATTATACAATCAGTGCCCTGTAAGATCTGTGAGGCTCAGTGGAGTGATTGTGAGTCATGCACAACAACAGAATTAGGAAGAGTTTGATTAAATTTCTGTTTATTTTACTGATAAAAGAAATCTAATGCTTTTATGTAATGTAATTCTTGTCCAGCAATGAGGATATTTAGTAGTTATTGGTTGCTTAAATAAGTTTTTATCCAAGGAAAGTGGTTAATATTTCCTCAGACCTGTTGCTGAAAGGTGATTTGCAGTTTTTCCTCGATGGCTAGGCATTACACCAACCTATTAGATGAGTCATGGATGATCTCATCCCCTTGGATGACGCAAGCAGTTTATACATTTCATAGTATGTGGCTGTACATAGTTTGGAATAAATCCCACCTACTATACCTTGCTTGATTGTTGTTTACATGCCATTATCATGGGTCTAGTTAAGCATTAGAGAATGAATGGCACAACATTAATATGCAAAGTATTCAGACACAGATGACTAGTAGCATATCTGGCATTTGCGCGTTTCTATGCATGCACGTCTCCAGTCGTGCGTTAGTGGTGCGTCGGAGGAGGTATGAATGGGCAGAGAGGGGTGTTCTCTCTCACACACCGTCACAGCTCTGGGATGAGGAGTGCCATCTACTCCACTACACGTCTGCTGTGCTGCTGAAAGAAGACGAACAGGGAAGTAAAGGAGGTGAGCCTTTGATATTATTTCTAGGATTTCTCTTTAATTTCCAACATGATTTAAAAGGTTGATGCAGAGTGTGATGTTTGTCCTTGTCATCCCCCTTCTTTCCCCCTCCTTGCCTGTCATACAGCACATAACTGCTTGATAGAATGCAGTTATGCGCTTGGTAAAACCTCCTTGTGGTCTCTAAAGGAATTTATCCGTTTTATTCTCTGCCTCATAGGGATGGAGGGTTTTCTAGCAATTGAATTAAGATTTGTTTTTAAATACTATAAGTGTTAATGAGGAATGCAAAAGGGACCTTAAAGGAGATTCATCTATGAAATGGATCCATATATGTAAAATAAATCCACTATTTGTGATAAAATCTCTGCACAGTCTTAATGGGGAGAGATAAAAGTCTCAGCTGTTGGTTGAACAGGAGCAGCTGTGACTGCTGACCAAATTCATCCTGTCTGGGAGGGTCGAGGGGATGAGTGTTAAAACACCTGAACAGGGGGAAACAGATGCCTCATTACAACCAATATACTGCAACTCATCACTTTCTCCTTATGGGTTTTCTGCTCTGGTGTTATTAGAATAAGTGGCCATCCTCTGACCTTGGAGCTTGAACATCACTATGTGCATGCATGGTGCAAGGTAATAATGTGAGACTGAGGTAGAGAGCTCTAAACCTGCACTGGGTAAGCACTTTTTAGCTTAACTTTGGTAAAATGAACTCAACCTGATGGTTTGGAATAAGAACTGTTGTCCTTGAACATATGAGCAAAACTCTCATTTTAAAGGTGAAACAAAAAGATATCATGGCAAAGCTACCCAGGGAAACCAGGAGCTGTATTACTGAGTTTTTAGATTGCAGAAAGCTAATCACACATCTAATTCCTCTCCTGTTCCAATTCTTAGTTCGGGAGTTAATTGCTGTTGACCTTTCTCTAAAGAACAGGCTAATATCTCTTGAACAGCTTAGGATTTCATTTAAACTACATGCTGCAAAGTATTCCATTGCGATTCTTAAAGCTGCTATTTCTCATCTATTATAACTTCTTTTTGCATCTTCCGACAGCCATCTTAGTGATGTGGGCACAATGAAAATGTCAGTCTTCTACTATATTGTTGTTTTTTTCTTCTGCTATTCTTGTCAAAATCTTCCAAGCATAAACTTGGATGAAGAGTTTCTTTAAATCAATTTGGTTTCTCAGTTGGATTTAGATCTGAGCTTTGACAGTATTATACATCTAAATCTTCCAATTCCTCCTACCATCTTTCAACATCTTCTTTCACTTTGGGAATGAGTACATGGGTGGAGCTCTGGATAACTCCTATAGCTACTAGGTGCTATGCAAAGGGTGGAAAAAGTAAAAAAAAAAAATAAATAAAAATAAAAAAATCCACTCAAAAGTTTAGTAACGTTGATAAAAATATTACTCAAGTTCATGTTCAGTTAACAGTGAAAAATGTTACTCCAAAGTAAAAAATGCTTAAGCAAAATTTTACTTTAAGTACAAGTTACTCGGTTACAACAAAATCCTTCTGGTCTACGTTATAAGGAAATTAGTAACTAATGAATTTAAACTGTTACAAAGAAAAAAAATGCAGCACGTTTTCTTAAATTACACGTTTGGCAGGTAATGATGTGTAGCAAATATTTTAAGTTTTGTTTATATATAATTTCTCTCATCTCTGTAACCTTCTTCTTAATGTGCATGTATGTTGCTTCTGTAGTTATCTTCCTTAGAATCTGGTGATTCTGAACTTCATCCCATCCTTTGTCCAAAACATCCACCACTGATCATTCACTGTTTTCAGATTCAATCAAATTAATTATAATTATAAGGAGTGGAAAAGGCTCATGTATATGCAATATGCAATATCGATATTGGGGGCTTTAAAAAAAGATATCTCATATACTGGCCGATATCCAATACACGGCTTAAAGTGAAAACGTGCTGGCTAAGAGGAGGCGTTTTGTATTTGATTCATTTTTGGGAGGAAAAAAGACAACAACCCAGAAATATAAATTTGGCACATTTACAAGAAACTGAAAAGTTATCTCCTCCACTGAACACAAGATTAATATTAATAGATTAATATTTAAGTAAAAAAATCCAGACAGGATTACTACTAAATTCATAAGTTGGAACCTTTTAAAAATTTGTTTAATTAAAAATATTAACTTCTGAATTTATGAGCCCCAGTACAGCCTGCATGTTGGCATGAAGTGTAATGGAACATAATATAATCTTATTTTTCTTCTAAAGTTGTTTATTTTACAAATAGCTGAAACATACACAAACCTAAAATACTAATATGTTTGCCAAAATTCATCTGCTCTCCTTAACGCACCCTACCACCGTGTTTCCATGAGTGTTTGTTATGGAGGACTAAAGTGTACTTTTACAAAATCACAGCCTACTCTGGAGTAAATTACTTACCTTCTCCCTCCTTGTCCAACTCTATGCTTATGCAAGCAGCAGCTGTGAGCATGTATGTTTACAATCACTATTTAGAGCAGGGACTATATAGTGAACTCAGTCAACTTACCCTTCGAACAGATGATCACTACTTTTTGCTCCCCATCGGTCATGTGACTCCGTCTCCCTGCATGCTGCCTGCACCATTTTTGTTAGTTGTCGCCGCTGTTGGCTATTGACAGCAGGCAGCTGTTACAACAACAGTCTGGGATATATGTGCTCATCTAGTGACCAGGGATGATCAATACTTTTCAAGATGCATTGTGGGAAATCTCCATTTCACCACTAGATGTTCGGACACTCATCTAAAATGGTGTAATTGTGATGGTCATAATGTCCTGAGATCAGGTGTCCAGCACACGCTGTCAGATCGGCATAATATTAGTTTATATCTAACCTAAATAATTCACAATACAAACCACAGCCAATGTTTTCTATGTATTTAAACATGACAACAAAATCTAACCAAATTTAAATTCTCCCACACGTTTTTTTTTTTTACTATTAAAATATCTGATTTTATAGTAATATTGACTAATATAATTTTAGCTATAAAGGTTTCTTCTCTCAATATCCCACAAACTTTAATATGTCTGGCCATTTCTGCATCCAAGAAATAACCATATATTCCAAGCTGATTTTCTTTTTTAAAAGTTAAAATAAGTGTGTTTTTGCTGGTCTGTACACTGCTGTTAAAATTCATTGTGGTAATAATTCTCTGCTCCGCATGCGTATTAGAAGAATGTATGCCGATCTGACAGACAGAACACCGACCACATGTTGGTCGATGTCAACTATTGAAACAGACGCAAAAATCAGCCTGATAAATCAGCCTGCTGATTAATTGGTCAGGCTCTAATACTCACATAGTCATAGTCATAAATGCAACAATTTACTCTCCGTCTCTGCTGCTATGTAATTATTAAAGGCTTGCAATTAATCAACCACACTAGAGGGCAAACTTTACAGTGCATATTAATCAATAAGAGGAAAGGAAAATCATCAATCATCAAAAACCAAAGAAAGTCAGAAAAGGTGAGATGGGGGAAGAAAAAGAGATGGGTTTATAGGATAAAAAGACAGCATGAGTGATGATAGCTAGAAGAAGCAGAGAGGAGGTTTTAAGACATGGCGGTTTATCATTAGTAATAACATTTTATATACTGTACATGTGGTAAACAGCCTTTACTTCTATTGCACTATATTTTTCTGTTTTCAAAATAATTGATAACCCATCAAAAAGCACATTTACACACTGTGTTTCAGTTTATTTTGTTGCATTGTTTATAAATGGCAAATATTATAAACAAACCATATAATGTGTCGTTTCACAACTGAATACATGGTGTGATCGAGGCGATTGGCAGAAGTTTTAAATCACAAATTTGTATGTTTCTCATCTGACATTATTTGTTAGAGCTTTTTATGTTTGTCTTTCAAAAATGTTTTTGTTTTTATGATTTCCAAGAATCAGTTTATGGACCATTTTCAAGAAATGTTGGCTCAGTTTCAAGTGCTGATAGTGTGCAAATATGCATATTTTTTTGTTTTGCAGCGAAGTAGCTGGTTGCTTCAAATATAAAGTGTTTATTGTGGTGATCCAGGAGATAAGAGTTGTGGAACAAAGTGCTGTGACTTTTTTTTGTAAATGGAAATTTGTAGTAACCTGAACGAAAAAGACTAAACTGTTTTTTATCTAGGATGTATAGTGTAGGATTTTAAGAAATGAGTCCTAGATGAAGGTATGGTCCGCTTGATTGATCCTATACAGGCTTGATTCTTACTGTTTGAATCAGTCATGTGTTTCTGAATAAGCCAAAAGCAAACGAGACAGATCTGCACTAAACAGACTAAACTGTTGCAGTGTGGAAGATGAGGAGAAGCTCCTATGGAAAGTTGTAGTTCTTTAGTTACAGCAGAAAGTGCATTCTCCTTTCTCTATGGATGAGGACCACTTCAGGTGATTAGAAAGGTTGGATCCTAGGAATTCAACATTATCCACACAAAAGACTGTGTTAATGAGAATGAAGATTGGCTTCTCCTGACGCCTACTCATGGCCGGACAAACCGGACTCGATTTAGGATCTGATCTTTATATTTGTTATTTGAATGTAAGACAGTGATTAAAAACAAATGTAGAAACAAAAGGAAGACAGAAACAATAGAAAAGGAAAATACTTTATTCAAAAGAAGTTGGAAGAAGACTGTTAATTTAATCCCACCCCTTTGCTGCACAAAACTAAACTATTACTCTCTATATATAACTATTATTATATAATGCTATCAACATTATCTATAACAATAGTGTTAAGACTATTATTTGTACTACTACTACTACTACTACTAATAATAATAATAACATTACCTTCATTAACAATACAATACTACTATCAATATTTTTCTTCTTCTCATTTTGTTGTCCTTCGGGCTGTTCCACGGTTTAACTCAACATACTGATATACAAATACTCTTCCTAGTGGTTTTCCCCAAAGGAATTCTGACTTTGATGTCACCTTGTAAATGGTAGGTTCCATC